CGCAAACAGCAGGATTTTAAAAATTGTCAAAGCCCTAACAGTTGCAGAGTATCAATGTGAGAGCCTTAGTAATGCCCTCTAGGAAGACAAAAAGAGACATAGACCATCTTAGGAAAACCCTTAGCAATTCTACCTTGTTCTGTCTTACTATAGTACACTTTCAATCCTCTGTTTTATACAAAAATCAGGGTAATAATAAAGGAGTCAGGATCAAAAACATTCCAGGCCTCAGTATGCCCTGGGGAAAGTAGCATGTTTTAATCATGCATGAGGTCATACTTAGCTTCACTAAACTCTTAGCTTGCATTTTTGTTGTTTTGATTTTTAGAGCCAAGATCTTTCTGTGTAACCTAGGCTGACCTTAACTCATGATCCCCTTGCCTTAGCTTCTAGAAGGTTGGCATTTTATAGGTTATTGGGTGTTTTGTTTGTTGTCTTGCTTTGTTTCTTTGAGACAGGGTATCTAGTAACTAAAACTGGGTTTAACTCTGGTAATCTCTTGGCTCTGCCTCTGGAGTGCTGGGATTACAGGTGTGTGTCATTAGATACAACCTGACTTTAAAAATATTATTATTGGGCTGGAGAGATGGCTCAGAGGTTAAGAGCACTAACTGTTCTTCCAAAGGTCCTGAGTTCAATTCCCAGCAACCACATGGTGGCTCACAACCATCAACAATTCAGTCTGGTGCCCTCTTCTGGCATGTAGACAAAACACTGTATATGTAATAAATAAATAAATCTTTAAAAAATTATTATTATTTGGTTTTGTGTGTGTGTGTGTATGTGTGTGTAGCTTTGGCTTTCCTAGAACTAGCTCTGTATACCAGGCTAGCCTCAAACTCACAGAGATCTGCCTTTTAATGACTTTGAGGCCAGCCTGGTCTACAGAGCAAGTTCCAGGACAGCCAAGGTTACATGGAGAGACCCTGTCTCAAAAACAAACAAAGAAAATTATTAACTATTGGGAATGTTTGTACATGTATTTAATCTTAGCACTAGAAAAGCAAAGGCAGGCTGATCTCTGTGAGTTTCAAGCCAGCCTGGCCTACATATATGGAGCTCCAGGCTAGCCAAGACTACATAGTAAGACTCTTAAAAAACAAAAAAACAGCCGGGCGGTGGTGGTGCACACCCTTAATCCCAGCACTCGGGAGGCAGAGGCAGGCAGATCTCTGTGAGTTCGAGGCCGGGCTGGACTGACAGCCTCCAAAACAATACAGAGAAATCCCGTCTCATAAAAACAAAAACAAAAACAAAACAAAACAACATCAACAACAACAACAACAACAAAAACCGAGCCGGGCGTTGGTGGTGCATGCCTTTAATCCCAGCACTCGGGAGGCAGAGGCAGGAGGTTCTCTATGAGTTTGAGGCCAGCCTGGTCTACAGAGCAAGTTCCAGGACAACTTCCAAAACAATTTAGAGAAACCCTGTCTCGGAAAAAAAAAAAGCAAAAACAAAATGACACAATATTTTCTTCATTAATTATTATTATTATTATTATTGCGTGTGTATGACGTGTGAAGGTAGATCAGAGAACAACTTGGCAAAATCCTTTCACCATGAGGTCAAGGATAGAAACCAGGTCATCAGGCTAGCACACCAAGTGCTTTTGTAAGCTGACTCATCTTACTGCCCACCCCACCCCTTTTAAATAATTAGCAGCTATCACTAGCTTGCTTCTTTTGGGGAGGTTACTGGTTTTTTGTTTTTTTTTGTTTTGTTTTGTTTCATTTTTTTTCTTTTTTGGATACATGGTTTCTCTTCATATCCCTAGAACTTGTTCTCTGAACCAGGCTGGCCTCAGACTCACAGAGATGTACCTGCCTCTGCCTCTTGACTGCTGGAATTAAAGGCACACACCTCAACTTAATTTCTCACAAGCATACACATGGGTTTGTTTTTTGTTTTTTCTTCTTATTGGAAGCTCCATGTTCTTTGTGCTAACATTCTCAGAGCCTGGCACATAATATCTATTCAATAAAAATTGATGAAGAAAACAATTGGCCCAGATACTGAACAGCAATTTGAAAACTTAGATCTTAACTCCTGTTCTTTCCCTATGCAGCCTTAAGAACTGGTTCTTTGACCACAAATTTGCAAATTTAAAGTGAGAGGTTCCTAGCTGGGTTTGGTGGTGTGTGTCTATAATTCCAACATTTGGGAGGTGGACACAGAAAGATTAGGTGTTCAAAGTCATCACCAGCTACACAGTGAGTCTGAGGAAGGCCTGGGTTACTTGAAACCCTGTCTCCAAGTCCCCCCCACCAGACAAATAAATATAATAAGGATTTCATTAAATAATGACCCATTGAGAACATCTACAACCCTGGCCTTATAATCCTAATGAGCACTCCCGTCCATCACAGAGGATGTGCTCAAGCACCTGAATTCCCTGCTGCTGGAACCCAAGCAGAGAGGCTATAAACTCAGCCTAGAAAACTGGTGGCTTTTCTCTTTATGCCCCACCCACTCACACAAAATGCCCTAGCCCAGAGGAAGCTTGAATGCCTCTGCCCTAGGCCCGCCCCTCTCTGATAAAGAGCGTCTGGGAAGCAGTGTTGCCATAGAAATCAGCGCCTCCTCAAAAGGCTTCAGCCTGCCCTCTTTACCCCACCCTACCCCACGGCTTTGTCTGTCTGGGACACCCCTCCCTTCCTCAGCCAGGCTCTCAGCAGCTGGGTAGCTGTGTGAGAAGGCTGGCTTGGGACCCTTTCAGCAACACCGTCACACTCATTCAGTCATGGTGTGGAAAGCAGCCCTTCCCCACCCTCCCCAAGCCAACCTAGAGGCAAAAAGAACAGTGGTACCACATGGAGTCTCCAGGCCCCACTTTCTGCTCTGACGGTCTGCTTCCAAACCCAGAGTGCAGGGAGCCATTCTCGCTTTATCCCCTAGCTGGGCTGGAACCTTTTATTCCTTCCCAGGTCAGGCTTACTGCAGTGACCCACCTTTCAGAGCATACAGGACCGTCACTACTTCCACATTTCTTCTAGAAGACCCCCAGAATTTCTGAGGATCCTATGGTTCCCCACCCAAGACAGGACAAAGGTAGAGAAATCAGTTTCTGCCAAGAGGTAAGCTGTGGCTCCCAGTCACTTAGGATTCCCTGGCAGGGATGTAGCAGTACAGTGAGATCTGAGCTTCCAAGTTGGGCACCAGGGTCTCTGACCATTAAGTACAAAGTTTGGAACAGGTCTTAGATCCTAGACTGGCAAGAGCCAGGCCAGGCCCCAGTGTGAGGAAGGAAGTGGGAAGTGAGCACACCCAGAGCATAAGGGCAGGGCAGGGGGGTGGGGTGGGGTGGGCAGAGACCAAAGCAGGCTTCTGTAGGAACAGGAACTAGGTTGAGGATTGACAGGAACCCAGAGACAGAAGGGTCCCCAGAGACACTAGTTGGGGGGGAGGTATTCTAGCCTCGGCTAGACAGATTCAAAGCAGGATAACGACAGAGTCACACAAACTCTTGTGGCAAGCAGGGCCTGCCTGCTTTCTGTGTACATGGGTACATGCCAGAAGGTGGGGTTAGGAGCTCAGCATCCCGTAGCAGCAGATTGGCTGCCTGTTCTATTGAATCCGGCACCCTCGCTCCTAGTATACAGACCACAAATGTCTTCCTGGAGCCCCTACAAAGCAGTAGAATGTTACTTTCTAGAAATTGCAGGAAGGCCTACAACTCTAGCCCTTCATATAGTAGCCCACAGCCCATCTCCTCTTTCTCTGCACAACCCTGACTCTCCCATACGCTGGACCACCAGCCATTTTCCTTCACATAGACCCCCCCCTTCTCTGGAAGTTCCTTCAAATCGCTCAAGTATCACCTCTAATCTTCTACATCAGACAGCGATCCTTTTCCCTAACCCTAACCTCCCACTTTCTCAAAGCACTCCCGCCCTTCCCCCACACCAGCCCCCACAGAGTGCACCTCCTTGCTCACACATTGAGCCCCTAACTGCTCCCCCAATTCCGCGTCCCCCACTCCAGAGCAACCTTTTCCAAATTCTTTTCTTCGCTAACGGTGGTCCCTACTTCAGGCCTGCCCAAGCTCACCCTTCCTCGTCTCCTTTTCCACGCGCACCCCGCCCCACACCTGCAGTTCCGTGGGTCCTGTTGCACTTGAGAAGGTAGTAGGTAGGGGCAGTGACTGAGCAGCCCTAGCTGCAGCCTGGGCCTGTAAACCTCTCCCCTTGGGCCCGAGCCCCGCCCCCGCAACGCCCCGGCCCACCCTCTCCCTTGTTCCAGCTCCCACCTTCCCGGGTTTGTCCCCCTTGCCCCGGTTCTTTAATCCCTAGGACTCCGCCCCTGCAACCCAAAACCACGCCCCTCCACGACTCCGCCCCTCTCGTCTTCTTTGCATTACCCCAGGATCCTCTGCTTTCTTGAGGCGCCACCCCCTGACTCCCGCCCCCTTTTGGTTTCTCCGCCTTTCATCAGGACCCACCCCCTCAGATTACAGCCCGTGGAACTCTTTCCAGGTCCCTTTCGCGTGAACACTGTCCCCTCTGACTGCAGTAACTTTCATTCACTGCCCTTTCTCCCGCCTCCCTCACCAGGGCGCACACGCTCCTTGGCCTGGGTCCGCTGGCTGTGATCGGCGGCGGCCCCAACAGATGACGGAGGAGACAAAGTGATGGCTGCAGGTCGTCTGAGGTCCCACCCCGGACACGTGCGGCTTCTGTGATGACAGGTCCAGGAGGGTGGGGCTTTGCCTGACCAGCTACAACCCCAAAATGACCAGATCCAGCCGCGGTGAGGAGCCAGAGCTCTGGCCAAAACTCAATGAACACTTCTTTCTAAGTTCCTCTCCCTTCCCTTCCTCTTTCTTCCCCTTCTCTCTTCTTTTAAGGGTCCCCTTTTACTGTAAACTGGCCTGTAATTCATTTTTCTTCTGCCTCCTCCCGCCTCCCCCCAGGTGCTGGAGTTCCTGAGGTTGTCTGGCTGGTGTGAGCGAGCTACTCGAGGAACTTGAGCCTCTTTAAGACTACTGAGTTAGTAATGTAGTAATGTGTATTTGCCCTAATGAAAATCCGAGAGGCTTGCAACATAGTATAAAGGAATCTCAGGGGTCTATGAAAAGTGGAGTTACAGGTTAGCTAAATTATGTGGTCGGCTCCGGGTCCAGGAATGGGCAGTAAGAGTCATATCTGTCTCTGTTGAGGTGGCTCAGGGAAATGTGTGACCTTGTTTAGAAAGTGCAGAAGCAGGACTCAGAGTGAGAAAAAAACTTTGCAGTGGATTTCTTTAGCGAAAGAAGACTATCAGTAATAAACAGAGACCTCTCTCAGAGTAGAAAAACAGCACGATGGTGGTGGCGCACTCCTGAGGCAGAGGCAGGAGGATCTCTGGAAGTTCGAGGCCAGCCTGGTCTGTAGAGCTTGTTCCAGGACAGCCAGGGCTACACAAAGAAACCCTGTCTGGAAAAACAAAACAACAAAAAAGGAGAAAAACACAAATGAAAATACATGATACTGTTACTTGAAATGTAAAAGTATTGTAATGGGGCTATGGGAGTCTGAAATTGATGAAGGAAGGTATTTTATCTTGTAAAGGTAATGAGTGAACTTTGTGAAAGTCAATGCTTTGCAATGTAAAGAGTCTTCCACAGAAGCAGGAGGGTAGAAAGATGCAACTCAGATACCGGTAGGTGGCAGCACACAGACACTTGTAGAACTAAGTGAGGTAGCCAGTTTGGGGCTTCCCTGATACTTTGATAGGGTTGGTTCTGACAAAGAAAGAAGTTCTTAGAGACTCTGATTCTTTAGGCTCTGTGACTTTAGTTAACGAGTGTGTGTGTGTGTGTGTGTGTGTGTGTGTGTGTGCACGTATGAGAACAAGTACACATGCATGCTCATACCACAGCATGTGTGAATGGCAGAGGATAAATTTTCTGGAGTCTGTTCTCTCATTCCACCATGTAGGGTGTAGGGATCAAACTTGGGTTGTCAGGCTTGACCTCAAAGGGCCTTTATGCACTGAGACATCTCACCAGCCCTTGAGCAACTTTCTTTTTAGATTTACAAAAATTTTGAGAAGATGGGATAGTTTCCATATGTACCTCAAGCCTAGTTTCCATTATTATTATTTCAGGGCTGGGAGTTAAACTTAGAGAACTGTGCATCCCAGGCAAGTAATCTACCACTGACTATTATCAAACTCCTTTTATTATTAATATCATACAGTGTGTGGGTTATTTGTTATGATGAAAGAACTAATATCGATACAGTATCATTTATTTTTTTATACAGATCTTCTTAGTTTCCTTTTTTCCTGTGTGAGGATTCCTTCCATGAGTGCACATGTTTGGCTGTGACAGCCTTTCAAATTTGCTTGATTATTGATGACCTTTGACAGAATCTCAAATCATATTCTGCCTCACTCTCCCAAGAGCAGGAATTATTAATTACATATGTGCCCACCACATCTGGATTTTCTGCCTCACTCTCCCAAGAGCAGGAATTATTAATTACATATGTACCTACCACATCTGAATTTTCTGCCTCACTCTCCCAAGAGCAGGAATTATTACATATGTGCCCACCACATCTGGATTCTAAGTTGGTTGGAGCTAAATGTGTACTAGAGACCTATAATGCCGATGCTGTGTAGAGGTAGAGGTAGGAGGGTAAAGGAGTTCAGGGCCAGCCTCTGCTACTTAGACCAGCTGATTACAAACCTCGGTTATATGAGGCCCTGTCCCAAAGGGGGAAAATATGGCAGCTGGGCAGTGGCTCAGTGGAAGAAGTGTTTGCCGTGTAAACATAAAGACCAGAGTTTAGATCCCTAGTACTCACAGAAATGCCAGGCAAGCATAATGGCCTCTGCCAACACAGTAATTTTCCCCTATAAGACCCATTTTTAGATTTCTGAGTGGCATAACTATGAAATGATGATTGTGTGATGTTTATGCATAAGGTTCTTGATTATTTTTGAAATGTTACATTTATTTTATTTATTGTGTATATTTATGTGTGTGGGCACACGTGCCATGGCTATCCTGTAGAAGTCAGAGGACAGGAGTTCTACTTCAACCATGTGGGTTGCAAGAATTGAACTCAGGTGGTCAGGCTAGGTAGCAAGCACTTTTACCTGATGAGCTATCTCATTGACGCCTTGATAACTTGTTATAGCAGAAATAGGAAACTAATACAGTTTCTTAGGCAATGTAAAGATCTTAGGTACCTGCTTCCAAGGAAAACTGGAAAACTTATTTTTAAAAATCCTCACTGTTAGCCGGGCGTTGGTGGTGCACGCCTTTAATACCAGCACTCGGGAGGCAGAGGCAGGCGGATCACTGTGAGTTCGAGACCAGCCTGGTCTACCGAGCGAGTTCCAGGACAGCCTCCAAAGCCACAGGGAAACCCTGTCTCGAAAAACCAAAAAAAAATCCTCACTGTTAGCTAGGCAGTAGTGGCACACACCTTTAATCTCAGCACTTGGGAGGCAGACACAGGTGGATCTCTGTGAGTCCAAGGCTAGCCTGGTCTACAGAGCTAGTTACAGGACATCTAGGGCTGTTGCACAGAGAAACCCTGTTCCAGAAAACCAAAAAAAAAAAAAATCCTCACTGTTCGGGGCTGGAGAGATGGCTCGGAGGTTGAGGGCTCTACCAGAGGTCCTGGGTTCGGTTCCCGGCGGCCACATGGTGGCTCACAACCATCCGTGGTGAGATCTGGTGCCCTCTCCTGGCTTGCAGACATACATAGAGGCAGGATGTTGTATTCATAATGAATAAATAAAATCTTTAAAAAAATCCTCACTGTTCAAACAAACAAACAAACACAGAAATAAGTCTTTAATCTCAGGACTTGGGAGACAGAGGCAGGCAGATCTCTGTGAGTTTGAGAGGTCGATCTGGTCTGCAGAACTGGTTCCAGAACAGTTACAGCTGTTACACAGAGAAACCTCATCTGGATAAACCAAACAAAAAAAAGTTATTGTTTGGTATATATGCATTTATATTGGACATATATCTTGGGGCACAGTAGCTGAGCATGTGTGTACAACCTCCATAGATATTGCAACATTTTTTCTTCTTTTTAAAAATGTTGGGGGGGGCATGGTGGCACATGCCTTCAATTCCAGCACTTGGGAGGCAGAGACAGGCAGATTTCTATGAGTTCAAGTAAAGCCTGGTCTACATAGTGAGTTCCTAGCCAACCTGGACTACATAGTGAGACATAGAAGGCCAGAAGAGGGCATTGGATTCCCAGGAACTGGAATTACAGACAATTGTGAAAAGTCATGTGGGTGCTGGAATTAAATCTGGGTCCTCTGGAAGAGCGACCAACTTAACTGCCCTGCCATCTTTCCAGTCCCAGCCAAATATTTTCTTGAAGAAATCATGGTCGTTCCAATTCCTAAAGCAATATATGAGAGATGTAGTTTCTTTACATTCTTGCCACCCAGCTACACATCCAACCACAGAATAAGAAGTAAAGAAAGGTGTATAGAAATAGAGAAAGATACAGCCCAGAGGCAAAAGGCAGACAGGATAATTTAAATTAAGGAAAGCTGACTAAGCCAAGCTAAGGCCAGGCATTTATAAGGAGGAATAAGACTCTGTGTGATTTATTTGGGAGCTGGGTGACAGGTCTCTTAAAAGAACAAAGAGTGAAAGACAATCAACAACTACAGAATCAGATCTGCTTTGTTCTGCTGAAAACCCAGAAGCCAGATACTGGGGAAAGGATCAGGGTATGGTGGTAACACACACCTGTAATCTCAGTACCTGGGAAGTTGAAGTAGAAGGATTGCCACAAGTTCAAGGCAAGCCTGGAGTACATAGTACTTGATCAGTCAGAGGTACATAGTAGGCCCCTGTTTCAAAACACCAGCAACAAGATAAATGGGTGGAAGGGAAACAGGCCTGATTAAAGTTGGCCCTGAGGAAAATGGAGGAGGCGTTTCCAGTGCAAATTTCTATCTTTAAGGGCTCAGGAAGTACAAGTGATTTTTATGGAGCATAAAAAAATAGAACAATAGGTGGGGAATCTCCTGGCTGAATGGGGTCTTTCCTTTATAGCCTCCTTTCCTTATAGTCTTCCTCCTGAAGATTTATTTTTATTTTAAGTTATGTGTATATATGTAGTTGGTGTGTAGGTATGTGCCTATGAGCCCAGATATTTGAGGAGTCCAGAAGAAAGTGTCAGATCCCTGGAGCTGGAGTTGCAGGGCATTTTGAGCCAACCCATGCGTGCCGTAAACCAACTTGAGTCCCCTGAAGGGGCAGTTTGACCTTGCTAGCCCCTCTTCTTGAAGCTGGTCTGTACCTTAAGATCCTGCAGCAGCATCTGTTTTTGTTTTTTAGATGAACCAGTTTTCTATGAATACAAGAGGAGGAGGTTTTACAGACAACATCCTATGGAAAGGACAGCTGGCTCATCAGTTAGGAGCCCTGGTTGTTCTTTCAAAGGACCTGGGTTTGTTCCACTACCAGCACCTACATTGCAGCTCAAAACTGTAATTCCAGTTATAGGAGACCCAATATCTTCTTCTGGCTTCTGTGGGCACTGCATGCAAATAGACACACATTCATGAAAAAACACCCCCCACACACATATAACACACACACACACACACACACAACACACAGCACACACACCCATACACACACACACATACATACATACATACATACATACATACATACATACATACATTTAAGAGAAGGATAGATAGTTGAAAGATTAGCGTACAGCCAGGCATAGTGGTGCCTGCCTATAATCCCAGTGTCTGTGGAGGTCAGAGTACAATGGTGCTGTCTAGGGGTACAGGAGCAGAATTGTTTTCTCTGCCAATTAAAATGCAGGAAAGGTCGGGGCCAGTGGTGGTGCACATCTGTAATCCCAGCACTTGAAAGTAGAGGCAGTAGAATCTCTGTGAGTTTGAGGCTCTCCTGGTCTACAGAGTGAGTTCCAGGAAGGACAGCCAGGGCTAGACGGAGAAACCCTATCCTGAAACACCAATAAATAAATAAACAAATAAATAAAATGCAGGAAAGAAGTGGTCCTGAAAATCCTGGTGGAATCCTAGCAGAGCCATCATACAATGTCAGAAAAGCTGGGGTCCTCTCTCTGGGTTCTTTGTTTCATTAATAAAATAATGCAAAATGGGTTCAAATGGAAGCTCAAGTACAATTTATTAGAGTTGAAAAGAAACTGTAGGCAAACTGTAAAGGTTGCAGCATCCGGGGCAGAGAAGGGTGGAGAAGATAAGCTTGGAGGTAAAGCCTGGTGGCAGGCAGCCCCACCTGGAGGAGCGCTTAAGAAAAAGTAAGGAAACACAAAGCCCTAGTTAGGGAGTTTAAAACACACTTAGGCTCCGGCTAATGTCTGAGAGAAAAAGACAGAAGAGAAGAAAAAGAAATGGGTACACCGTTCTAGGTCAGGCCTCAGAAAGGTGGGCAGAATCAGAAGATTCTCTTGGTGGCTCTTAGGGACTGCACCAGCGGAGGGAATGCTGGGAAGGAAAGCACATTAAGGTGAACCAGCCACAGTGAAGTCTCTAGCCCTCTCCACTGGAGCAGGGAGAAGACAGGAGCACAGCTCCACCTAGAGGTGGAGTCTATTACTTGCAGGAAGGCAACTTGTAGGACTTGGCTGGGTTCTATTACTTGCAGGAAGGCAATTTGTAGGACTTGGCTCTTTCTCCTATGTGAGTTCCAGGTTTGAACTCAGGCCATCCGGATTGGCAGCAAGCTCTTTTACCCACTGAGCCATCTACTTTGGAGTTTTCTTAATTACATTATGGGAAGATCCACCTTAAATACACTATTCCTTGTGCTTGGGATCCTGAACTGTAGAAGAGTGGAGAAAGTGGGAAAAATACTCTCCCCCGACACTCTCTGTTTTCTGTTGTAGGTTGTGGACATAGCCAGTTCACTCAAGCCTCTGCCACTGTGACTTCCCTGCTGTGATGAACTGTTACTTGGAACTGTGATCCCTCCTACAGTGGCTTTTGTCACTGTATTTGACCACACCAATTGGAAACAAAACTAAGACATCAGGTGTCCCACTCTGTCATTGTATTCTTATTCTCGTGAGATGGCATCTCTTACTGAACCAGAAACTCACCGTTTGTCAGGTTGGCTGGCTGACCTGCAAGACCCAGTAATTCTCTCTGGTCTCTTTCCCCAACAAAATACCCCTACCTATTCATAGACTTCATGGACACCTAGAAGAAATGGGAAAGACTTATGACTGCTTACTTGGGCTCCTGTGGTGTAGCTCCAGCCATGACTGTTTCAAATAGTTTGCATCAGACTTTTTGCTATCACATGTGGTCTTAGAGATTGTATAACAGTTTCCACCCAGGCAAAATGAGTGAGTGAGTGAGTGAGTGTGTGTGTGTTACACACAGGCCCTAGCAGACAGACTCTTGTAACTAATGAAAAGGAACAAGCCAGTAGTGTAAACAATTTGGCACAAAGGTTTTGTTTGGAATGATTAGTGCAAATACTTGTGTTTTTGTTTTGTTTTGTTTGAGACAAGGTCTCTTTCTATAGCCTTGGCTGTCCTGACCAGGCTGGCCTCAGTCTTGTAGAGATCTATCTACCATTGCCTCCCAAGTGCTGGGGTTGTAACATCTTCCCTACTTCCAGGAGCAGGCTGAGCAAGTAATGTGAAGGAAGAAACTGTTAAGTAAGTTGGCCATGGTGGTGTGTTCCAGACTAGCCTGGTCTATAAAATGATCTCCAGGTCAGCTAAGGGGACACACACACACACACACACACACACACACACACTCAGAGTTACAGCAGAGTGGCCAAATCGCTGGGCATTGGTGGCTCACGCCTTTAATCCCAGCACTCAGGAGGCAGAGGCAGGCGGATCTCTGTGAGTTTTAGGCCAGCCTGGTCTATAGAGTGAGTGCCAGGTCAGGCTCCAAAGCAATAGAGAAACCCTGTCTGGAAGCCCCCCTCCCCAAAAAAGAGGTATAATGTGAACAGCCTTTAGGCACCAGTGACTCCCCAGTGCCCTAGGCCTGGGAACTGAGGAATTCTGACACCCCAGTTCTACATAAGTGCTCTAACAGCTTTGTTAAAGGTCCATTATACCCCAAGCCTACGGAAAGAGTGGTAAAATTTGCCACTGTAAGCCTGGTACTCAGGCCTACACAGGGAGCTGTGATACTAGTCTGTGTCACCTGCTGCGGTTCCCTCCTGTTTATTGCCACTGTGCACTGCTCTCTATCAAACGCCAAGGGACACAACAGCTGCCAAACCCAGTGCTGGAATAGCTGCACTTAAGTTCTCATCCAGGTCGAGTACCCCAAGCCAGCTGACTGACAACAGATGGTTTTGACACAGTGAGGTATGGGCGGGGGCAGGCATCACAATGCAGTTTGACCTCCTACAGCGGGTTGACTGAAACTTAAGAAAGGGCTTCCTAAGTTTAGAGCTTGGCCCTAGAACATCCTGTCTCAATCTGTGTGAGTTTTTGACCCATTTGGAGGTCACATATCAGATATCCTGCATATCAGATATTTACATTAGGATTCTTAATAGTAGCAAAATTACAGATATGAACTAGCAACAAAATAATTTTGTGATCGGGGTCACCACAATATGAGGAACTGCATTAAAGGGTTACAGCTTTAGGAAGTTTGAAAACCACTGCCCTAGAACCATCTTGCCTATAGAAATGTCTGAAGAAAGCATAAAAGAGGAAAGATGCTTCAAGACCAGCCTGGTCTACAGAGCTAGTTCCAGGCTAGCCAGGGATACACAAAGAAACCCTATCTTAAAAAACAACAACCAACCAAACAAACAAACAAAAAAGAAACAAAGAAAATGAAAAGAAGAAAGATCCAACAAAAGTCCGGATAAGCTAGTTTGTGTACCCATGGAGATTGCAGGAGCAGAAAATAGATGCTGAAGACTTGGGATACTGGTGCAAGTTGTTGGACTGCAAGCTAATCATCATCATCTGATCACCAAGACCACCTCTGAGAGCCTTAGCTGTCCCAAAAATGTGGCATTGTGGACTACTTCTGTTCTTAGTTGTGGCCAAGTGAAATGCATGGGCAATAGTAAGTCATTTTTTTTTTTTTTGGTTTTTTTTTCGAGACAGGGTTTCTCTGTGGCTTTGGAGGCTGTCCTGGAACTCGCTTGGTAGTCCAGGCTGGTCTCGAACTTACAGAGATCCACCTGCCTCTGCCTCCCGAGTGCTGGGATTAAAGGCGTGCGCCACCAACGCCCGGCAATAGTAAGTCATCTTAAGCCAGTGTCCTGCATGTAATCTCAATACCTCCCTCGCTCTCCCCTATCCTCTCTCCCTCCCCTTTCTCTCCTATTCCCATAGATATATTTCAGGGGCTGAGCTTAAACCTCGATTCTCTTGTTTTTGTCTCCTGAATGTTGGGATCCCAGGTATACCATCCACCATGCCCAGCATATTAGACAGATATCTAGGCAGTCCCTTCAGTGACTTGGTCTCTTGACAACATTCATGCATTTGTATAATTCTTTTTAACTTTTTTGTTTGTTTTTGATTTTGTTTTGAGACAAGGTTTTTTTTTTGTGTAACCCTTGCTGTCCCGGAACTCACTTTGTAGACCAGGCTGGCCTCAAACTCAGAGATGCACTTGCCTCTTTCTCCCAAGTCCTGGGACTAAAGGTGTGCCACCACTACCTAGCAACATTTTATTATTTGTGTGTGTGTGTGTGTGTGTGTGTGTGTGAGAGAGAGAGAGAGAGAGAGAGAGAGAGAGAGAGAGAGAGAGAGAGAGAGAGAGAGTGCATGCATGTGTGTATGTGAGTGGAGGTCAGTGGGAGACAGCTCTCTTATTCTACCTGTGGGTCCCAGGGATCAAACTGGTCGTTAGTATTGGTAGCAATCACCTTCACCCACTAAGCCATCTTGCCAGCCCTGTGAGTCACTTTTGATAAACAAAATGTATTTTTAAAAAACGTGCGGGGAGGGGGGTCGGCAGCTTGAGAAATGGATGGTTCAGCACTTAAGAGCATTCATTGTTCTTGCAGAGGATTTAGCTTTGGCTCCCTGCACCCATGTTGGGTGATGCACAGCTGTCTGTAACTCTAGCTTGAGGGGCACTGATTATTTTGGCCTCTGAGGGCACTTGTGTACACACAATAATACAATTAAAAATGAAATAAATTGACCTGATGGGCCCTGCCAGGCCCGGGCAAGTGAAAGACCCCCACAGGCCTGCCTGGCACCTCAAGCTGCCATTACAATGATCAACTAGCTGCATGGCAGAGAAATGGGTAAGAGAAGCTGAGCAGTTCATGTGCCGAGCAAGTGGAGGCGTGAGTAAGAGGCTGACGTGGGTGGTCTGTGCTGGCACCTGGGGTGTGGTGATGTTCAGCCAGGGCTGATGCCAAGGGCCATGTCTGGATCTGTGGTCTTATAGCGTCTTTGTGGATGTCCGTGGCTCCTCTTACCACCGAAGGCCCTGCAGATTCTCCCAGGTCTGGCCTCCACCTGCTGCCATGTTGGTGTCTGAGAGCCAGGTTGCCACTGTGCCTTGCTGATCTGAGCGTCCTGCGCTGCCACCCAGGGCCATGTCTGGGTCTGTGTTCTTAACACCGCTGGGGTCTGTGTTGAAGTCCATGGCCTGTGTTGTCATCAAAGGCCACCTGGATACCCAGGTCTGAGCTGCCACCTGTAGCCATGTTGGTGTCCAAGGACTGTGCCACCACTGGGGCCAAGCGTCTCTGAGTGGCCTTTGCTGGTACCCAGGGCATGGTGATATCTGACCTAAGCTGCTGACAAAGACCATGTCTGGTTACATGGTCCTGTTGCAGCCGGAGTCTGTATTGGTGTCCGTGGCCCGTGTTACCACCTGCAGCCATGCAAACTATGTTGAGATCTGAGGGCTGCGTTGAGCTGGCCCCGCCCTTTGCTGGCCCTGGGAGATCTGTCCCTACATCTCTCTGGCTGCTCCAGCAGGAGAGCAGGCCCTGACCTATACAGGCAGAGCTGGCCTCGATGACCCCAGCCCTGGGAGGACGGCACCACCCCTCACCACATCACATGTGAGCTGCCTCGGTTGGTGTGGACAAAAGAGTGCTGGCTCCGCCCCTCGCCTGAGGGGGTTGTCCCAGGAGAAGCCCGGACTGACCAACACAGCTATCACCCAGACCCACATCTGGTGCTTTGTGCTTTGAGCTGGCCCATCCCAGCATCTACTCCATCTGCTGGAGCGCTGGAAGGGACTGGTCCTGTGAAATCAGAGCTTCCGATCTGTATGACTTGGGGCAACAGCAGGATGCCGGAGAGGAATTTTGGTGAGGGTCCAGTATGGATGGTGTACCAGAAGCTAGAGGCCTTGGACCACACCAACAACTCAGTGCAGTGAACATTTGCAAGTGAAGCTGTTTGGACAGGGAGGTGAGCTGTGTGACACACAACAGCTCAGAATGCCACTTAGGTGAGCGAAGAAGAGGTGATGGTCAAAGAGGTGATGGAGAGGCAGGAAAGACTTTTCCAGACAGGGTTTCTCTGTGGCTTTGGAGCCTGTCCTGGAACTCACTCTGTAGACCAGGCTGGTCTCGAACTCACAGAGATCCGCCTGCCTTTGCCTCCTGAGTGCTGGGACTAAAGGCGTGTGCCACCACCATTGTCTGGCCTGTTTTGTTTTTATTTAATACTTTTTTTTTCTTTTGTGCGGGAGATGCTGCAAGGGCGAAGTGTGGATACTGAGGGACAGGAAATTCAGTGGGGTTGGAGGGCATGATGTGAAATTCCCAAAGAATCAGTAAAAATTGTTTTAAAAAATGAAATAAATGTTTAAAAAATTAGGTGATGTCACTCTTATGATTGGGATAGCAAAGATTATGACTTTACTTTTATTTTTCCAGGAGACTGTATTACCTTCTCAGTTTCAGGTTTTAGCTTCTATTTCTTGTTTTATTATTTTTAAGATTATTTTTACTTCAAGTGTATGAATGTTTGCCTGCATGTATGTATGTGTATTACCTGCATGCCTGATGTAGCTGGAGGCCTGCACAAGGTGATCAGATCCCCTGTAGCTGCAGTTACAGACAGCTGTGAGTTGCCCTGTGGTTGTCGGGAACCACAGCCAGGCCCTCTGCAGGAGCAGCAAACGCTTTTCACTGCTGAGTCAGCTCTCCAGCCCCTTGCTCTTTTTCCATTTGCTTTCCCGACAGGGTGCCATGTAGTTCAGGGTTGCACCGAACAAACAGTGTAGCCAAGGCTTGGCTTAAATTCTGCTGCCTCTATCTCCCAAGTGCTGAGATTACAGTCATCTAATGTTTGGACTCAGCTTGCATGCTTTGGTAAAGCAAGCAGTGGTGTTGGCCAGGCCTGCATGACAAAAACTGAGACTTGCCCATTGTTAGTAAGGCGCTGAGGCTGTTTTTCCAAGTTCTGGAGGAGCTCGGTTCTGCCAACGATCACAGGAGAGAGCTTGGAACTGAGATACTCCAGGCACCGTGGCACGTTGAAGTTTGAGAAACCTTGAACTGGAGGACCCAGTTAAGTTGTGCCTAGATCCCCAACCTGCAGAAACTTTGAGATGACCAGTGCCGTTTTAGGTTACTAAGTTCTGGGGTTATTTTTACATGCCAGTAGAGGGTGCACTGGCTGAATCTGCTTAGTTCTAAAAATGTGTGCTCCTCACAATTTTATTAGCTTCTTTCCCATTACTCTTATTATTTCCAGGTGCAAAATGATTGCCAGTTTCTCACTGGCCGGCCTCTGTGTTTTCCAGAAGGATCCTTGATTTATAACAGTTCTGTTCTGTCTAAACTCAGTACCATAATTCAGAAGTTCAACTCCTTTTTTTTTTTCCTTTTTCTTTTTTTGAGACTGTTTTCAGTGTAACAGTCCTGGTTGTCCTTGAACCCGATTTGTAGATCAGGCTGGACTCTCAGATCCACCTGCCTCTGCCTCCTAAGTTCTGGGAGTAAAGGCGTGAGCCACTATGCTCGGCTTCAACTCCTTTCAGTTCCTTGCTTGCTCTAGAAAACCTGCGATAAGTAACCGAGTACTCCAAACACTCCCCCTATCTTTGAGATCTGTAGACTAGTATGTTGAGTTGTCCTGCTCCAAAGCTTCTCCAGGACTGAGTCTTTTTCCTTCTCCAGTCTCTGTCTCTGTCTCTATGTCTCTCAGTAGCACAGGCTAGCCTCAGATTTGCCATGTAGCCAAGGATGGATGGCCTTGAATTCCTGATTTCCCCAGCCTATCTGAAAGAGCTGGAATTTTTCCTCCACAGCCCCAAAGCAACTTGTGTAATTACTATGACAAGTACATCTTCAGTTGTAAAGCCTAGTCTCATTAAGGAAATCCATTGCAAAGTCTTCAGTTAAAAGAACCTGCTTTTTGTGTGGAAAAACCCACACGTGAGAGGAGCAAGAGGTTTCAATTCCCGCCGTTCACAGGTGAGGGTTAGTTCCGCCCATCCTTGCCATAAAGCCCTTTCAGTGGGCGGAGCTGCTGCTGTCAATCTCGCTTATTAGGAAAACGAAGGGGACCTCGTTGTCTACGTGCTCCCGAGGGGCGGGGTCTGCAGACTGGGCGCGAGCGGATTGGCCGGGGGCGTGGCCCCGGGGATTGGTTTCGCCCCGGCTCTCGCACGGATCCCAGCCGGAGTGACGGGAGGGATCTCTGGTCGCTCGCGCTTCGCAGCTATGGCGCCTCGGGGCCGCGCCCAGTCCCCAGTTTGCCGGCTGAGCCTCCGCTCTTGTCTCTGCTCACTCCTGCCCTGAGAACCCGGGCGGCTCCGAGGGAGCGGGGAACGCGGCCGGCGACCGGGACCATGAGTAGCGGCGGGACCCGCGAGGCGGCTAGCCCGAGGCGGCGCGGCACCTGCTGAGAGAAAAGAGGGAGCGGCCCGGCGCGGCGAGCGGCTGAGGTGCGGCGGAGGCTGGTCCGCGCCTCGGCCATGTCGCTGCTCTGCGTGCGTGGTGAGTGCGCGGCCGGCGGGACCCGAGTCTCGCACGCCTGCCCCACACGCTTCCAGTAGCGTCCCGGCGCCGCCTCCCCCGAACTTCACTCCTCGTGCGTTGCCCGGGTGGAGGGGGGCGAATATGCTCATAGTCACTTGTAAACATTCGACGAGTGTCTCCCCTCCATCCCCTTTGACCCCCTCCTGCAGTGGATTGTCACCTCTTTATTGCGGCAGTGTGGGTGCCTGGCCTGCCGGGTGCGGCAAGCAGGAAAGGGCTGATGAGAGTACATTCATGAGGGGACCGCCTATGGTCGGCGCCTGTCTGCAGCCCGCGATCTCATTCCTCTCCAGGAACCGTGAAAGCAGCCGGCTTGGAAGCCGCTTCTTTTTCTTACTCGGACCGTGTTAGTGGTACAGCTGTCACAACCCTTTAGTGTTTTTTTTTTCTTTCTTGATTTGCATTTGTATTTGTCTGTCTCCTCCCTAGCTCCTTCCCTGAACCTCAGCCGGTGTCTAGGTTAAAATCATTCTCACATAACATTTTGAAGGATAGGCTGGCCTCTCTCCTTTGGGAGCAGAACGTGGAGATCCGGTTTATTTTACTTGATGCATTCGGGAGGGATGTGTGTTTGTGTATGATTTTTGTTGGTAACAGTCTTGTTATGAAGCCCAGGCTGCTTTTGAACTTACTGCGTAGCTCAGACTGGTTTGGAAGTCGTGATCTAACCGCCTCACCTCCTGGGGTTACAGGCTTTTTATAAAACTAGAGCTTTGGAGTTTTAGTCGTATGAGGTACGGTGCCCTGGACTTAGCTCTATGCGAGTAGAGACTATTTGTGGCTGGTTTTTGTAGTCTCCCAAGAGCCAAACGCCGTAGAAATTTTGAATGAATGCAAGAGCCGTGATTGTAGAGAATATCTGGTCAGAAAAAGTAGGGCTTGTTTGGCTGATTGATTTTGATCTTGAAGCCAATCCTATGTGTTGAACAAAATGGTACGATAAAGTGGTCTGGTTGTGAGAGCACGTTTATCTCCCGCGGCCTTCCCAGAGCCTTTTCCTGTCCCTCTGTACTGGATAGCTAGAGTTCATGTTTCTCTTGGCTGCACAGATTAGAAGCAGTGTTGTTGTGATCTCTCTGATTACAGTGTTTCCCCAGCTGCTGGCAAATGGAACCGCTCTGGGTTGTTCTCTTCCACTGTCTCAGTAAATCTGCACTAACCCCAAATAGGATTTGGTTATTTCCGGGGATTATGAGAGATACAGTTTTTCTTCTTTAGTGGTTGATTTTTCATTAATGAGAATTTTGCTTTGGTTTTAGGGAGGCATTTTCCCTCAGCAGCTGGAAGTCTATGTATTCCTTTAGATCCCTTCTGCCAAGTAGCAGGGTTTGGGAGAGGTTGGGTTTGGAAATGCCTCTTGGGCAGTTTGTTAATTCTCTGCTGCCACACCATACGGAGCTAGACCTAATGAAAGACTCGTTTAGGTAGGAGCATTTTTAAATCAGAAATTATTTATCTGAACTTAAATAGAAAAGCTGCTGCTGTTCTTATTTGCTTTAATATCAATCAGCTTTCATTGCCTGGAAATTCTGCTGTTTAGTCTGTCACTGTCGTCTGTCAGTCTGTCTGCCTGCCCCCCCCCTCCTGCCCTTTCCCCAGCCTTAATCATCTGGGGCTACAGGTGTATGCTACCATGCATGGTTTGCATCTTGCTTGTTTATGGGGTTCGAGCTCAGTGCCCCTGGTACATTCAGCATGCTCTTAACCACTGTTGTAGACCCTTAGCTCCTCTTTTCTTCTTTTGGGGAGAGTGGGCAGGGTAGAGGCTGGCCTCGGCCTTCTGAGTTCTGGGTTGCTGGTGTGAACTATTACACCTGGCAAACACTAAATCTTATACAATAACATTCTTTGGGTTACATTTTGTTTTCTTGCTTTTTTTTTTTTTTTTGAGATGATGTTTCCCTTTATAACCCATAATACCCCTTAACTCATTATGTAACCCAGGTTGGTTTTGAACTTTTGGTGATTGGTGGTGATCCTCCTGTCTTAGTCTTCTAAGTACTGGGATTTGCTATACCTGGTCATACACACATTTAATTTCAGAATTTGGGAGGCAGAGGCAGGCAGGTCTCTGAGTTTCAGGTTAGCCTGGTCTACATAATGTACTCCCTGTCAGTCATGGCTACATAGTGAGACCTTGTCTCAAAATAAGCAAACAAAACTAAAACAACTCCACAAATATGTGCTGGGATTGTAGATATATGCTGCAGCCACCACCCCTCACTGAGAGGAGGAAAGTTATTTATTGTGTGAATTCAGACTATCTAGTGATACTTTTTAACAACTCAATTTCAATTCATCTTGGAGTGGAATTGGATTAGAAACTTTTTAATCTGGCGTGGTGGTGGCACATGTCTTTAATTGGGAGGCTGAGACAACTGGATCTCTGAGTTTGAGGCCACCCTGGTCTATAAAGATTCAGGACAGCCAGGGCTACACAGAGAAACCCTGTCTCACAAAAAAAAAGTAGTTAAATTCAAATTCAAACAGTAGTTAATGTGATATATAAATTTGGTAAATTCTGTCTTTTTTTGTTTGTTTTTATTGTTTTTGTCCTTGACTTTATATATTTATTTGAGACGGTTTCACATACCCTTGAATTCCTGGTCTTCTAGCCTCTACCTCTTAAGCGCTGGCCAAATTGATTTATGCATCCCCAATCATCTTCAAAAATTTATTTCCATGGTCTAGTCCTACAGTCATGCCTTATTCCCCTCAGGTCTCCTACAAGAGCTACAGTGTGTGTTCTTAACTGCCACAGCATCTCTTGATTGATGACACTTTCACCAGTACTTCACTCTTTAGCTCTAACTTTGTCCATCCCTGCATCTGCTTTGCTCTGTGCTTGTACCCTGTAACAGACTTAAATCTTCCATTTATCTAAAATATATCCTTCCCTTCACAGTTTAAGGTCTACCTCTGTTGTTGAAAACTTCCTCAGTCCTCAGTGACCCTTTTCTCCTTAAACATTAGAGAACTTGTGGTCTGCACAGTGGCATTAATTTGGCAGTGAATCATGTACACTGGCATTGGTCTTGTATTGTAACACTTAAGGTGACCTGGACAGAGGAGACAACAGTGGTCAGATCAAACTGGATTGACTTGAGCTGGAATAGTTCCTTGTAAGGGGCACAAAACTAGGTTGAGGGAATTACTGTTATTACTGAAGAGGAGATTGCTTGACTAATAAGTGTAGAACCTGTTTGGATAACATGGAAGTTTATTTTATTTTATTTTTTTGGTTTTTACAAGACAGGGTTTCTCTGTATTGTTTTGGAGGCTGTCGGTCCAGCCCGGCCTGGAACTCACAGAGATCCGCCTGCCTCTGCCTCCCGAGTGCTGGGATTAAAGGTGTGCGCCACCACCGCCCGGCTAACATGGAAGTTTAATTCTGAGTAGATTTAAGACGGAAAGGGTTATAGTCACAGATGAAAATAGTTCTAATTTTTCTAGATTGTTGTCAATAAAAGGATAGAACCAAGATAAATGGGTTAGTGGTTTGAATTATAGAATTTTGTCAGGTGCTGGTTTATTCCTGTAATCTTAGCACTTGAGAAGTAGAGACAGAAAGAGATCAGGAGTTTATGACCAGCCTAGGTTCTGTGAGTCTTTGTCAAAAGACCAAATATAAACAAATAACTAAATAACTAATAAAATTAAGGGAAATTTAATTTTGCTTTAATATAAAGAAGACCTTTATGTTAAGGGCTGGGGTTACAGCTGAGTGGTAGAGCTGCCTCACAGGTCCAGTCCCTGTATTTAATCCCTAACAACATAAAAATGAACACAGACCCAAAACAAAGAATGTTGACAGTTAAGGTTTTTCTTAAGAAATGTAATAGACTACTCTTGAGAACTATTTTACATTTAAGTAGTGAGTGAAGGAGTTAGAGGGATGTTCTAAAAGGGATGTCATCCTTTGGGTAGAAGGTTAGTGTTTTGGTTTATAAATATTTATTTGTTTATTTATTGCGGGGAAGGGGAGGTTGAGACAGAGTTTCTCTGTAGCTTTTTTTTTATTTTGGTTTTTTCGAGACAAGGTTTCTCTTTTTTGTTTTGGAGGCTGACCTGAAACTTGCTCTGTAGACCAGGCTCTCACAGAGATCTGTTTGCCTCTGCCTCTTGAGTGCTGGGACTAAAGGCGTGCACCAACAATGCCCAGCTTCTCTGTAGCTTTGGAACCTATCCTGGAACTTGCTCAGTAGACCAGGCTGGCTTCAAACTCACAGAGATCTGCTTGTGTCTGCCTCCCCAGTGCTGGGATTAAATGGCATGCATTACCACTGCCCAGCAGTTTTGAATTTTTAAAAAAAATATTAATTTATTATGTATACAGTATTCTGTCTGCATGTATCCCTGCAGGCCAGAAGAGGGCACCAGGTGTCATTACAGATGGTCGTGAGCCACCATGTGGTTCCTGGGAATTGAACTCAAGACCTCTGAAGCACAGCCAGTGCTCTTAACCTCTGAGCCATCTCTCCAGCCCCAGGTTTTTTTTGTTTGTTTGTTTATTTTTTAAGAAACCATTATGTTGCCAGGTGGTAGTGGTGCACTTGTTTAATCCCAGCACTGGGGAGGCAGAGTCAGGCAGATCTCTGAATTCAAGGTCAGGCTGTTCTACAAAGTGAGTTCCAGGACAGCCAGGGTTACCCAGAGAAACACTGTCTCAAAAAAAAATATTGTGTTATGCATTATGTTATGGATTTCACTTTGATTTTCTTTAAAAATTTGCTAAAATATAAAAAAAAAAAACATACTGGTTGGTCTTGGTGGTACATGCCCTTAATTCCAGGCAGTCAGGCAGATTTCTGTGAGTTCAAGGCCAGCTTGGTCTACATAGTGAGTTCTAGGACTCTGGGATATGTTGAGAGACCCTGTCTCAAAAAACCAAACTATGTATTTCTTTAATATGTTTTGATATAAACTATAAGTTAAATATAAGAGCAGCCAGCCACAGT